TCCTAATGCAGTGACTGGGGATACGGTGAACACTGAAGCACTGTGTGTTGTTCAGACCAAAGCTATGGCCTTGTTGATGGAGTTGTAGGTGAAATTCATTAGATGCCACCAAGGTTGGAAATCCTTCATTCAAATTTAGTTGTGGATGGAAAATCAGCTCGATTAAGCTACAAAAGGATGAGGGTAATTTTCATAATAGCTTCAACTCATCAAATTTATAGGGACATTATTAACACCAAATGCAAAAGGAACCAGTGGCTGGAGATGAGAGAGGTCTGCAGCATTATTGCGCTGTTTAATTCAGTGCAGTTTTTTTTTTTTATCAGAAAAGAGCATTTCGGGTGAATCCTGACCTACCCTTTCTATTTTGGAGTGTACGCTACCATACGCTGCAGTCACAAGGAAAAGCTTTCTGCCATGTTGCAGTTGGTAAATCTTTAATAACATTGTGCCTAGTAAAGAAAAACCTGTCAGACTCGGTCTGTGCTTCATGACCTGGTGACAGGGGAAGTCAGATGCCTGGTGCTGGAGCACCACACACAGCACCTGAATAAGTAACTGGCAGGATGTATCTTCACAGCACAACTTACATGTAGTCCTTTCTTTTCAGTAGCAAAATATACAGACATAGAATCCCAGACTGGTTTGGGTTGGAAGGGACCTTAAAGCTCCTCCAGCTCCAACCCCTACCACAGGCAGGGACCCCTTCCACTTGAGCAGCTTGCTCCAAGCCCCTGTGTCCAACCTGGCCTTGAACACTGCCAGGGATGGGGCAGCCACAGCTTCTCTGGGCACCCTGTGCCAGCGCCTCAGCACCCTCACAGGGAAGAGCTTCTGCCTAAGAGCTCATCTCAGTCTCCCCTCTGGCAGGTTAAAGCCATTCCCCTTGGCCTGTCCCTACATCCCTTGTCCCAAGCCCCTCTCCAGGTTTCCTGCAGCCCCTTCAGGCACTGGAGCTGCTCTCAGGTCTCCCCTTCAGGAGCCTTCTCTTGTCCAGGCTGCCCCAGCCCAGCTCTCTCAGCCTGGCTCCAGAGCAGAGCTGCTCCAGCCCTCGCAGCATCTCCATGGCCTCCTCTGGCCTCTCTCCAACAGCTCCACGTCCCTCTGGTGCTGGGGACACCAGGCCTGCACACAGTGCTGCAGGTGGGGTCTCACAAGAGCAGAGGGGCAGAATCCCCTCTTTCAGCTGGTCTCCCGGGTGGGGATTTTAAGCTTCTCTTCCCGCCCCGTTTGGAGCTGCCCTGGGGGTTTCACCGCCCAGTTTGGAGCTGCCCTGGGGGTTTCACCGCTCCCGGCCCTGCAGCCCCTGCGTGCAGGACGCTCGGTGCCATCCCGCTGCTGTCCCACAGCGGCGGCAGCTCTGGCCCCGGCCTGCAGTGCTGCTGCTCGCTGTGCCTGCGCCCCCCGCTCCCGTCAGCAGAGGGGGACAGCCGGGAGGGGTTTCCTTCTGTCCGCTCCGAGCAAATTCACTTCCGCTTCTCCCAAAAGCAGAGGCTGAACCCAAACGAGCCGGCCCTGACCCGCGGCATCCGTGCGCCGCTGGGCTGGACTTCCCCCCCCACTGCGAGGTGTGACTGCGGGCGGGCACACGCCGAAATCCTGGGAACGGGGGTGTTCCCTGGCTGCCCACGGAGGGGGCCCCTCTCCTGTCCCTCCTGTGCCCTGGGGTGGCCTCTCCCCTGGTCTGCGTGTTTCACTGTTAACAAAGAGCTGCTGGAAGGATCCCAGGCACGATGTGGATTCCAGGTGTTCAGGGAAGGGGAAGAGGCAAGGAAGCTGCTCTCTTCATCCTACTAATTCCAGCTTGGAAGGACAGCGCGTCCTTGAAGCTCACAGGTGTCCCAACTGAAGGGCTGTTCCCGGGCAGAGCTGGTGCTTCCTGCCGCTTTCTGCACCCAGCCGGGCTGGCGGGAGGGCTGGTGCATGGGGTGCTGCTCAGGGGACACAAGGGAGGCACAAGGTAGACAGGCTGCCTTGCTGCAGCAGCTCCACTCACGCTTCTTCCTGCACGCCAGGAGAGGGAGATCCAGAATACATCACTGCTTTCAAATGGAAAACCGGACTCGTTGGGCACAGGTGAGCACTGGGCAGTCAAGAGGCTGTGCTGGATGCCTCTCGGTGTGGTACAGACCCCCATGGGCACTGTCACATGCTGGTGGTAGCTTTGGCTCCCTACCTCACGCCTTACAGAAACCAGCTGTGTGCTGGTGGATTGAGGGCCCTGCTTTTTTCCATTGCTGCAAGCATGGGGCTGGACCTGCTTCTGCCACTGTCACCTGGAAGGTTTCTAAGGTCAGGAGCCTTTTAACCCACCCTTAAATGACACACCGTCATACTGCTTTGCCTTAGTTTTGTGTGGTTTATGGTTAAGCAGCAAGGTGCAGTTAGAGCCTCTGGAGGTGGGTAGAGGCTCATCCTTCACGCTGAGATCCCACATCTTGAAGCTAGCTCAGAATCACCCTCATTCATCACTGCTGCTTTTCATGGCTCTGGAAGAAATTCATCCTGCCAGGAGGTGGGAAGAAAGTTTACAGCAGGTAGGAACCAATTCAAAGCAGAAAATTATTAATAGTAGTGATAGTGATAATGATGATGATATGATGAAGATAATAATAATAGTAGTAGTAGTAATTTAGATAGCAGTTTTCTATGGAAGAGTTGTAAATGCATCTTTCAGGGTATTCCCAGGCAGGGAGCACTGTGGAGCACAGGTGAAACTTGTCTGAACTAGCACTGAGTCGTTGAGAAAACAAGTAGGAAGGAAACTCCTCATTCAGAGCTGGATTAAATTCAGCCCTGGATGAGTATAGGCTGGTCCTGCCTCTGGAAGCATGAACAAGAAGACTCATTCTTCCATCACACCCTGTCTCCGCAAGTGAAGGGAACACACACATTAAACAAAATACTAAGTGACATCAGGTTTAAAGATGTTGGCATCTCTGTTTGAGAACTGTGGCCCTTTCAGACTCTTGTGATGACACCAACCAGTATGACTGTGGGATGTGGAGCTTTCAAGCCAGTTTATTTATCAGCGTGGATTAAAAAGAGCTTTTACAGAATGTGAAGGAGAACCCTGATCCACACAGGCCCATCCTGCCTTGCTCTTGCACTGCCCCTTTTCATGCACTTCATACAGTTTGATTTGTTAAGAAGTCACTTTCCCAGAATTTGAATCTCCATGAGCAGTGGAGAGGGATGGGAAGAGCACAGGAGATGCTGTAATTTCTTCCCTGAGCAGTGCTCTTTCTGATGTGCCTGATGAATCGTATGTTCTGACACCGATGAAACTAAATCCTATTTCAGGTCCAATGGTTTAAATTGTTTTCATCCTTAGTGCCAGAAAACTGGGGGAATGTTGGGTGGTGATGAAACCAATTAATCCTGAAATATTTTTGGCACAGTGAAAACGCTTGGTGATGTTTCAGGAGTCCTGGTGTGGCACCGCTACCATGGTGCCAGCTTTAACACTCACCTCCCAACACATTAAAAACTACATAAAAAGAGGGTTAGGGCTGCCTCTGAGCTGGAAGATTGGAAAATGAAGGAGCAGAGAGCATCGTGAAGGAGGCTGGAAGAAAAGAGAACCGGAGTTTCTGCTGTCTTCATTTCTGACAAAGCCCAGCTTGGTGGATGAGATGGCATTGGAAAGGCTCTGTTCCCAGCTGGGGAGCTGTGGTGTTCTCCTTGGCAAGGCAGCCAGGTTATTAAACAGCTGTCGTTATGAAATAATCCAAGGGGGAAAAACAGACTTTCACAACAATAAACAGGAGGAGGAAAGTGAGTTCAAAATCATCCGTTGCCTCCAATAGCAGGGAAGGAAATTTTTTCTCACTACCCCGTTAGGAGGTTGGCAAATAATTAGTTAGACGTTATTCCTGAAAAGATTGTATTGTGTGTCTTCCACTATTTATCACAAAGTATCCTGCAGTGACATGCAGGTAAGGCTCCCTTGGGCACAGCCAAGGGCCATTAGAATGGTGGGGCTGAGGATGGAACAGGGAACATTGGAACAGGGTGCCCAGAGAAGCTGTGGCTGCCCCATCCCTGGCAGTGTTCAAGGCCAGGTTGGACACAGGGGCTTGGAGCAAGCTGCTCTACTGGAAGGTGCCCCTGCCTGAATCAGGGGTTGGAGCCAGATGAGCCAGATGGAAGGTCCCTTCCAACCCAAACCAGTCTGGGATCCTATGATTTTATGAGTGTGTGCATTTAATACAGAGTAAAGAATTCAATCAGATGAAAATGTGAAATATCTCCTTGCAGAAGGAGCTTTTAAACACATTTTTTCATGTCAGTCTTTTTGCTTTTGTTACCATGCATGGTTTTCGTGTCAGTCTTTTGTTACCATGGCCAGTGTGTGCTCCTTGACACAGCCAAGAGCTCTCTGCCCATGCTCCTGCCCTCTCATGACTGTTGGATGTGTTCACATGTCAGGATGTGAATAAATGATGTTGGGGATAAGGGTAAAACTCTGGGTACAGCTGACACGTCACCCTGCAGTATCTTGGGCTGAACCTAGCCTCTGGTAAAAACTCAGCTCTAGGAGCCTGCTGTGCCTGTACAGTTGACTATGTCTTCCTCAGATGTTTTCTGTCATTTATTTTATTTCCTGCTCTAGTAATGGCTTGTTTTAGCTTTTGACTCTGCTCCAGCACTGCTGATCACCTGCAAACATTAAAGAGCTGCAGCAAAACCCCTACATGGCACTAGGGTGAATGGGGTCCTCCCATCAAGGAGCTGAGCTTGGCTCTTCTCCTGCTCCTTATCCATTCCAGCTGTAAAGCAGGGACCTCTCCTTTTCCCAGGGGAGAAAGACAGCCTGCTCCTCAGATGTGCAGCTTTCCGAGATGAAGGCAGTGGGAATTTGAGACACAGCAAACTTCCTTCTCTTCTAGCATGCTTCCAAATGAGTAGTTGGCTTGAGCTGAGTAGTAGTTGTGAGATGGAGTGTGCCTACTCAAGACTTTGGACCATGCTGCCTTGTGCTGTTTGTGAAAGCTTCTAAAGTCAAAATGAAGCACTGAAACGTTATTTCACAAAGCAGAACATCTTCTCATTTCACTTTGGGAGGTTTTGTCCGAGACACTTACTGTCCTCTGGGTAATTCCTTGGGGCAAAACCTGAATCACAGAATCCCAAGGGTTGGAAGGGACCTCAAAAGCTCATCTAGTCCAACCCTCCTGCAAGAGCAGGGTAACCTAGAGTACATCACACAGGAACTTGTCCAGGCGGGCCTTGAATATCTCCAACATAGGAGACTCCACAACCCCCCTGGGCAACCCGTTCCAGTGCTCTGTCACTCTCACAGTAAAGACATTTTTCCTGATGTTCCCATGGAACCTCCTGTGCTCCAGTTTACACCCATTGCCCCTTGTCCTGTCACTGGACAGCACTGAAAAAACCCTAGCTCCATCATCCTGACACTCACCCTTTACATATTTGTAAACATTGATGAGGTCACCCCTCAGTCTCCTTCTCCAAGCTAAAGAGTCCCAGCTCCCTCAGCCTCTCCTCATAAGAGAGATGTTCCATTCCCTTAATCATCTTCATGGCTCTGCGCTGGACTCTTTCAAGCAATTCCCTGTCCTTCTTGAACTGAGGGGCCCAGAACTGGACACAATATTCCAGATGCGGTCTCACCAAGGCAGAGTAGAGGGGGAGGAGAACCTCTCTTGACCTACTAACCGCAGCCTCTCTAATGCACCCTAGGATGCCATTGGCCTTCTTGGCCACAAGGGCACATTGCTGGCTCATGGTCATCCTCCTATCCACCAGGACCCCCGGGTCCCTTTCCCCGTCACTGCTGTCCAGCAGTGCAGCCCCCAACCTGTACTGCTACATGGGGCTGTTCTTCCCCAGACGCAAGACTCTACACTTGCCCTTGTTGAATTTCATCAAGTTCCTCTCTGCCCACCTCTCCAGCCTGTCCAGGTCTCGCTGAATGGTAACACAGCCCTCTGGTGTGTCAGCCACCCCTCCCAGTTTAGTATCACCAGCGAACTTGCTGAGGGTACATTCAGTTCCCTCATCCAGGTCGTTGATGAAAATATTAAACAGCACTGGTCCCAGCACTGACCCCTGAGGGACTCCACTAGTCACAGACCTCCAGCTAGATTCTGCCCCATGGACCACAACTCTCTGCCTTCTTCCTTCCAACCAGTTCTTGATCCACCTCACTACCTGATCATCAAGCCCACACTTCCTTAGCTTATCTATGAGGATGCTGTGGGAGACAGTATCAAATGCCTTACTGAAATCAAGAAAAAACACATCTACCACTCTACCATCATCCATCCACCTAGTTACTTGCTCATAGAAGGCTATAAGGTTGGTCAAACATGACTTCCCCTTGATAAAGCGATGTTGGCTGCTCTTAATGACCCCCTCATCCTTGATATGCCTAAAGATGGTGTCAAGAATAAGTTGTTCCATCACCTTTCCAGGGATGGAGGTAAGGCTGACCGGTCTATAATTACCCGGGTCCTCCTTCTTGCCCTTCTTATAGACCAGCGTGACATTTGCCATCCTCCAATCCTCAGGCACCTCACCTGTTTCCCACGACTTACCAAAGATGATGGAGAGTGGCTCAGCAATGACCTCTGCTAGCTCCCTCAGCACCCGCGGGTGTATTCCATCCGGACCCATCGATTTATAGATGTCCAGATTGCTTAACTGATCCCTAACCCAATCCTCATCCACCAGAGCAAACTCCTTTTATCCTGACTCCTTCCGGGGCTATAGGAATCTGGGTCCCCCGGGGAGAGTCTGCAGGAGTAAAGACAGAGGCAAAGAAGGCGTTCAGCACCTCTGCCTTCTTTATATCCTCTGTCTCCAGGGCACCCACCTCATTCAGCAGTGGGCCTATATTGCCTCTTGTGTTAGTTTTATTCGCTATGTATTTGAAGAAGCCCTTTCCATTGTCCTTGACCCGACTTGCCAGATTAAGTTCCAAGGAGGCCTTAGCTGTCCTAATTGCTTCCCTACATCCTCTAACAGCTGTCCTATATTCCTCCCAAGTGGCCAGACCCTCCTTCCATAATCCATAGATTCTCTTTTTCCGCATGAGTTTGCCCAGCAGTTCCTTGTTTAACCATGCTGGTCTTCTGGCTCCCCTAATTGACTTCCTACCCATTGGGATACTCTGATCCTGAGCTTGGCAGAAGTGGTCCTTGAATGCTGACCAACTATCTTGAGCCCCTTTACCACCTAGTACCCTTTGCCGTGATACATCCCTTAGCAATTGATTGAAGAGGCCAAAGTTGGCCCTTTGGAAATCCAGAATTGTGGCCTTGCTAGGTATTCTGTTCCTCCCACACAAGATCCTAAACTCCACCATCTCATGGTCACTGCAGCCCAGGCTGCCAATGACCATCACCGCTTCAACCAGACCCTCCTTGTTGGTGAGTACCAGATCCAACAGTGCTCCTCTCCTAGTTGGTTCGTCCACCATTTGCATTAAGAAGTTATCATCAATGCACTGGAGGAACCTCCTAGACTGTGAATGACTGGCTGTGTAAGTCTTCCAGCAAATATCGGGGTAGTTAAAATCCCCCATAAGGACCAAGGCATGTAGTCGTGAGGCTGCTTTCAGTTGCCTGTAGAAAGCCTCATCAACTCCTTCGTCCTGATCAGGAGGTCTATAATAGACCCCCACAACTGTGCCACCCATACCAGCCTGTCCCTTAATTCGCGCCCACAGACTTTCCACTTGCTCCTCATCTGCCCCTGGACAGAACTCAATACATTCCAGTCTCTGTCTCACATAAAGAGCAACTCCACCACCTCGCTTTGCTGACCAATCTTTCCTAAAAAGGACACAGCCATCCATGACCACATCCCAGTCACGTGAGCTGTCCCACCATGTCTCTGTAATTGCCACCAGGTCATAACCTTTAGACGGCACACAGACTTCTAACTCCTCCTGTCTATTCCCCATGCTGCGTGCATTGGGGTGCAGGCATTTCAGGGAGCGAGCAGAGCACGCTAGTGGCACCCTTGGGAGGCGGGAGGCCTTCTGGTCTTCATTCATACTAGAACATTGCCCCGCTAGTTCAAACCCAGCTACAACCCCATCGCACTTCGAATCTAACTTAGAGCTCTGTGAGTGAGCTCTACTAACTCTTGCCCAGGTACCCTTTTTCCCTGCAGGACAGGGTTTAAACAACTACCCTTTCCCTCAAATGAAACAATAGATTGAGAGTCCTCCCTAGTCCGCCATCCTTCAAGCCCTAGCATGCTTCTCTTGGGCTTGTCCCCAACAGGCCCAGTTATCTCCCCTTCCCTAGTTTAAAGCCCTGTCATTGAGCCCTGCTAACTCATGCCCCAAAATCCTTTTCCCCCTCTGGGACTGGTGTATCCCACCTGCCACCAGCAAACCAGGTGTCTCATATAGCAGCCTATGATTGAAAAACCCCAAACCCTGCCTTTGGCACCAGTCCCGTAGCCATACATTAATCTGCAGACTCTTCCTATTTATCTCTTCACCTTTGCTTGTAACAGGTGTGGAGGCAAACACCACTTGTGCTCCAGACCCTCTAACCAGCTGTCCCAGGGCCCTGAAGTCTCTCTTCGTTGCCCTTGCCCTCCTTGTAATAATTTCATCACTGCCAACCCGAAAAACCAGCAGCAGATAGTAGTCAGAGGGCTGCACCAGATCAGAGTTTCCTTTTAACATCTCTAATCTGAGCCCCAGGTAGGCAGCAGACTTCCCTGTGGGACGGATCTGGGTGGCAAATGGGCCCTTCTGTTCCCCTCAGAAGGGAGTCACCCACCACAATTCCTCTTCTTTTCTTCTTGGTTGAGGAAGTTCTAAGGCCTGGGTGTGAGTAACAAGCCCTAGGTGACTCACTAGATGGATCTACCCCTCCATCTCCATTTACCTGGCCCTGTAGTTCCAAGACCTTGTACCTGTTATTCAAGGGCAATTGGGAGGGAGAAAGGGATTGCGAGGGTTTTCACTTACCTCTTCAAGGAGGGACCTCCCTCCATACTGCCTTGTCCCTTAAGCTCACTCCTTCTATCCGATGGTAGGAGGGAAGGGGATCCATCACTTGTTCAACCACTTCCCTCTGCCCTTGCCTTAGGGTGTGGCTCCACCAATCTATTTCATTTTCTGAATCTGAGCATAGCAAAGGTGTAGCCTTTACAACATATGAACTTCATTTTAAGATCTTCAGATCTGTGTGTGTTTAAGTGATGTTAGCCATGTTTCTTTCTACTAGAAAGTAATTTACAAGGAGCTACCATCTGGTGCTATCTGGGGCGCCACTTGTTTCCGGACTTAATCTAAGGGAAATGTGGTGTCTAAGCTACTCTTTTGCAGCATTGTTTCCTGGCTCTTGGTTCAACAGTGGTAATACCAAATGGGTTGTCTTAAGAACCAAGGAGGACTCCTGCTGCTCTGCCCAATCGCTTCCCTCCAGGCAGCCTGGCAGAACTGCTGGGGGTATTCAGAAGCTCTTGGTTTAGATTTTAGTTTCTTAATGGCAGTGTAGGGTTTGGGGGTGGGCGATGCAAAGGTGGGAGGCTCCAGCCCTCACATTTGGATATTCTTGTTATGTATATAACATGCAAACAATTTCTTTCAAAGCAAACTACTGTCATTTAGAAGCAATGGGGCTTTTGCTTGTGTGCAAACAATTAAGGAGGGGACCCTGTTTCTTTTCAGTCTCAGTGCTTCTATATGCCATATGCTGCCTCCAACCTTATGGAGATTTGATGATTTATTTTCAAGGAGTGGTGTGTTTAAGCGTGCAGGTTATCAAAGATATGTTACATGTATGAAAATATATCATCTTCTAAGCTGCCCTGGTTCTCACTAATGGGCAGTAAGTAAATGCACTTTCAGTAGAGCCTGTGGTTTGACAAAATTATCCAGTAGAACAAAGATCAGCTTTCGGCTGGCTTGGGGTTTGAAAACAAACTGCAAAATGGTGCATAAATTGGTACCATGTGTAGCATTTCCTGAATCGGATACAGCTTATAATGGCAACAGCTTTGGTAAGCTAGGAAATAAGCAGAACTTAGCGTTTGGATTCTGTCACTTGTTTCTGATAGCTCTTTTGTAAATATTTGAATAAGCAAGGATACAATGGGATGAGCTTTAAGGTCCCTTCCAACCCAAACCATTCTGTGATTCCATGATTATGCTTTCTAGTTAAGCCCATTTCATGTAATGCTCAGCTGCAGAATAAGCTTCAGCAGTGACCTGGTTTAGAAGACAAACACTTAAAAGTCAATTCCAGTAAACATAGTTGTTGTCACCTGCTTCAGTAAGTACAGCTACACGGAGAATTCCATCCCAAGCAGTCCTAGAGGCTGAAGGCTGAATGAGAACAACCAGAGCAGTCTGTGTAATGCTTACTCTGCTCAGCAGCTTATGAAACAGGAGTAAACGGGTGACCTGGCATGAACCGTTCCCTGAGACAGCCTGTAAAAGCTCATCTCGCTTCATTACTGCTAACCTCTTTGTAAGTGAAATGACTGCCTACAACTAAGAACTCTGCAGCAGCACTGCAAACCAAAGAACTAGTTAACCTGATGCCACCCCTAGTAGATACTCACTAGGATTTTAAACAAGCACCTGCCTTAAAAGAATAATCATCATGTGATTAAATTATTTATACTTGAAGCCAACTTGCAGATGCTTTCATCTGCTAAAAAATACATGACCTCTGAGGGCTTCAGAGACTGAAAGTACAGATTGCATGTTTGAAGATGTTTTGCAAATCTTAATCACAATAAAAGAGATGGTAATAAACCAGCATCCTTTTTATTTCAAAAGACATCCAGTTGCAAGTTGAATACTGCTGTTGCCCAGGAGAGTCTCGTAGTCAGGTGCAGATCAGGTTTTCCTGTGTTTAGAAGCAAAGAGTTGAGGCTCTTTGAAGCTGTAAGTATCTCTGTTGTAATGCTTTAGTCACACTGAGCTCAGGAGGCATAAGGATTCACAGCAGGTTTTTTGCTGCTGTTCTGAGCCTGGCTCTGGTAGACTTCAAGTGAACAGACACCTACTCCCTTAATGCAGACCTGCACATCCAGCTTTTGCCCCCCAAGACTGTGTCCAAGTTTGAAGTGTTTTTTCTTCAGGAGGAAGGAGATTCTCTTGCAAAGTCCACTGGAGTATGCAGTTGATAAGTCATCTCCTGGTGCTTGTTCCCTACCCTGCTGCTCTGTATCCAGTTAGTTCCACAAGCCACTGGGAGATGGGATATACAAGCCTAAACAGATTTTGTTGTACAACAGTTTAACATCAAAGGTGATATAAGAAGAGCTATATTTTCCAGGAGAAATCTACTCTAACAGCTTGTTCACTTGAGTGACCTGAAAAATTATGGTCTAATAAAGAGGGAAATAAAATGTGAAACGACCTGGTACATCTGTCCTCCACCTCCCTCTGACTGCTTTCACATGTTTCAGTGCAAGACAAATATGAAAGCTACATTCAAAATTAGGCCAAATCAAGTATAAAGACAGTAAACATCAATAGAGCTGGGGCATCTGTTTGCATCTGCCTTTAGAGTGGTAAGGACAAGTCAAAAAAGTGAGAGGATTAGCCACAATTACAGTTCTTCTTATTTTTATGTCTTGCTTAAAAAAACAGAAAGATGCAAATCTGGCAATGAAAAATATCTAATATTCATAGCTAAATTAAAAGTCACTATCCTTTGGACAGATTATGTATTTGGGAAAACACAAAGCAACTACTTCAGACACCTAGCTTAGGTAGAACGTTTCCTGTAGAGAAGAGAGGCGGCTGCCTCCAGAGAGCCTCTCCAGGCTGAATCAGATGTACTGATGGGCAAATATTCCAATGCAAGGTAACAAAGCTGTCAATAATGTTATCAAAATTACTGCCAGTGGTAAGGCACAGATAAAATAATTCCATGCTTGGAAGGGCTCTGCCTACATCACATCTGTTCTCCAAAAGAAAGGTTTCTAAGGCTTTCAGCACAGCTATTTGGCCAGTCTGATTCACTACACTACAGCACCAGAACTCCGATAGCACAGGTGTGTATGAGTTCATACATACTCCTTCAGCAGTTTGCTGGTTTGTAAAAATTAATATGGAAAATTGTCCCGAGTACCTCCTTAAGAACTTGTTCTGGGCTGTGTTTAACTTAGTCCAACACACACCATTAAAACCATTGCTTACTAGATACTGGTTAAATGCATGTCAACTTGGAAATGAAGCATCAAAAGAGGAATTAAAAAATAAAAAAGAATTTCTGTTCCATTATTAATCACACAAGTTTCTGAGATTTGTTTTTGGTTAGCAATTTTTACAGAAGGTGTAAATGCAGGTACAGTGCCCCAACAGGCCTCGAGACCCAACAAAAGAGAAATGTGATCAATAAACATTGTAAATGAGATGAGACACATGGAGGTCAAGCTTCTGTTACTATGTGCAAGGGAGCGTTTAAAAATTAACAGCAAGGAAAAGTATTAGTACAAGTCTTCATGTACAAGTTAGCACGATCTAGAAAACTAGGAGTTTTGTGATTGCAGATGTGATACTTCGGAAATATCTGAAATGCTTTTTGTTATAGAAATCTCTGTAACTTACACCATTGTACAATAGCGTATTTAGAAAAAGTGCCAGTCCCTGAGCCAGCAGGTAAGAGCCTAAAAGATATTTATATCTCTCTAAAAATATTTAAAAATAAAAATTAAGACATTAGTTAAGCTTTTAGCCATAAACGCGTAAGAGCAACTACAGCAATCAATCTTGGGAAGAGAAGAGGGAAAAGTAAGTTACAGAGGGATAAACTTCTTTCAGTTTGCTACTTGAGTTGCTGAAAGGTGCTTACTACCAGTTTTGCAGGTAGAGTTCACCCTGTGTCCCCTGGTTTTCCAAATGGTTTTCCAGCTGGGCCTAGAAAAGGCAGTGCTTGAACAGGGTTTCCAGAAACATATATAATACACAGAATACGGAGTACAGCAACTATTAGCAGTTATTTGTGTCTGTGCACAAATGAGAAGAAATTTTAAGTGAGGTCCAGAAATGAAGAAGCAGGACAAATGAGTCCCTGTGACCAAAACTAGACAAATGATAGCCTACAGCTTCTGTTTGTCTCACCTTTGCTTTAGCTAGAGAGGAGAAAAAAGAAAACAAGGCACAGCTATCTCTGCACACTGCAAAGGAAGACCACTGTTGTGCCATGGAGTACACTGGTTTAGTGCCAAGCAAGTGAAATAAAGGACAATGTGACCACACCAGAACCAAAGGCCTGATGTTTCATACCACAAGGAAGTGATAACTTGCCACGAAAAAAAAAAGGCATGGAGAAAGGGAAGTCCTGTGAAGTGCCACCAATTGATAATACCTTCTTCGATGAGCTCTCTGAAAATCAGTTAGTTTCTGCAGAAGTGGAAATGCCAGTATTCCAGAAACCAATGTCCTTGAGTCAAAATCAACCTTTCCTTAGATGCTGAACAGTTTAAATATTAACACATGGGAAAATTCCAGGTACACAAATATGCTGCTTGTTGGAGACCAGAGAAAGCTGCTTGGTGTGTCCAGCTTCTTCAGAGTATTTCCCCCCCCCCGCCATCGTGTCCAAGTGTAACTGGCTCAAGTGCAAATGGCATCTAGAATGAATGCTTCAGGTCTCTGAAACACAAAATAAAGATATTGAGATGTTAGTGATACAAGAATTAAACGACAAATTTGCCTTAAAGGGGAAATGAAGGTGGGTTTTCTTTGAAGTATGCATAATAGTAAAGGTAAAGCCAGAAAATGCTGGCCACATTTCTCTCAGAGCTTTGAGGAGATTGTGGACAGAAAAAAAGACTTATTTTTCAAGTTGCATTAAGGTGACTGGGTGTTTTTAACAAGAGCAGTAAGTACAAATGGGGGGACAACAGATGTAATGTTCCAAAGCGATAAAGAACTACCACATTTAACAAATATGGAGCAAAAAGACAAGGTCCCAGACACCACATTTGGCAATTTTATTAGGAAGCTGCCTGTGTGAGAAGCATGAAGGCAGGATCACACAGCTGCTGGTTTTGTACAAATGTAAACTTGTTTTAAATATCCTTTGGTCTTGTCTCTACCTGAAGTTACACAAACCAGCTACTGGTTCTCCTTTACTGAGGCACTGCAAGTTTATTAAACCAATTTCAGCAGTAGATACCAATCATGTTCATGTGTGTGAAGATACCCTAGCTGTGCACAGCTACATGCGATACATGATATAGAGCTGTACGAGCTATTACCATCTTCTAGGCAGAACTGTGTTTCATGCTGTCATGATGATCTCAGTTACATGTGAACAGGTTTCTCACATAAGACCTAGCTTTCTAACTAGGGATTCCACAATTCTAGTTACAATTAAGCCACAAAGCCCTTGGAGTTGACAGTTTATGGAAAACAGAAGGAACAATAGAGGAGAAATGCCAACACAAATGCTGTGAAGGCCCTCTTCTTGCCAGATGGTGCCAGGTAAGCAGTAAGACATTGCATAAAACCACTGATGTTTCCATAAGACTTAGCCACGTGTGTGTGAAGTTAGGGGAAAGTAGACAAAGTCCACGGATGGGTGGGAGAAATTTGCAGGGAGATACACTTCTCATGTCTAAAGAGGTAATGCTCTTTAACAGAAATGTTCAGAAGTCAGCCTGGCATATTAATGCTGTCTGGAGCCTGGATTGTAACACACAAAATAGATGTCCTGCAACCTCAGTTACAGCTGCAGGGTTCTTCAAAGCACTTTGGTATTGAGGTGTGCTTTACAGAAATACAGCAAGAGATCAAAAAGGGAGCAGAGCTGGCACTGGTACTGGGGAGAATCAGTAAGGCACCGCATTAGAGAATGCGGTATTAGTAGAGAAACAGCAGATGAACCGTGGGTGAGCTCATGCATCCAGTATCCTGATAAGGCAAGGTGTGTCACACCTACCCCCTGCATTTTGGTTGACTTCTAAGTATACCATTATATTAAGGCACTAACTGGCTCTGGGTTGGACTGTCAACTCGTGGTCCTCTCCACCCAGCATACACTAGTATGATAAGCAAAATCTACTTCTCCTCTCTTCCCTCATTTTTCTTTCACTGTACCAAAAAGAGATACGCTGGGATTCCGGTATTTCACCTTGTCCATGATTTGAATTTCTCGATGCCTATTTCAGATTCTTGTCTCTGCCTCTGTTCCTGCCTATTGTGCATGTTTTTTTCCTGTGAAGACAGCTACAATTCCAATAACCCTTCATTCAGTTCTTTTGGCTTTGCCAGTGCAATTTTGAGGTTAGTGTTCCAGTATTGTTTTAATGTATACTATTGAGATGGATGTTCCAGGTATAATTGTGAACATATCTGAGATAATCTGTGTGCTCTTTGCTACTAAAATTAAATATTTATAAGTTTATTTGTAGAAACTATGGCCAGAAAATACAATAAAACAATCTTGTTTCAGTGCCAGAATTTCACAGATTTTGGTTAAAGCAGACAATTCCACCTTCACCCCAGAATAAATGAATTTCATTCTTCATCTTTCTAGTAAGTTTTTGGATTGATTTGCCCACATACTGTTCAGAGTCATGATAAATTCTGACCTGGTTTCAGTTCTTACACAGATTTCTCTTGCACCATTCATCTTCAGATTAGGGCCCTGTTTAAAGGCCTTGTACCTTCATTTTCATGGAGAAAGGCTTTCATTTAGAAGTTAACTCAAACTAATAATGTTACACGTATGGGCTGTCAGCCTAGTAGCCAGTGTACCGTGGCTTGCCAAGGAAGTCAAGTAATTCCTTCTTCAGCAGGTCTTCTGAAATACTGGATATTAGGAAGATAAAGAGCCAGGGCAATGTTGGTACACACAGACATAGCAGTGCTATTTTAAAGGCAGATGTTGAACTATAGCGTTTCTTGGGCTACAAGCCTACAGTTTAGGTTTATCTCCTACAAAATTGTTCATCACAGCTATGATGCTAGAAAGATACCCATTTTGATTCCCATAACTCCTACATTTATTCTTCTGCATAAGTAAATACCAAACTTTAAAATGCAGGTAGAGCAAACAGTATTGTTCTAAATGACCACATGTATTAAGTAAAGCAATAGCGCACATCACTTTGGGATGAATCTCCCACAGAGCAAAAGCCCTGCAGCTTGGGAGATCGAAAAGCCACACTATCTGCACAGGAACTGAAGGGCTCCAGTGATGTGTATTATATGTTGGACCTAATAGCCCTAATTTCTTGGATAAAGATTAAATCTTCAGTCTAACAGACTGGACGCAGTATACTGCAAAACTTTCATAAAAGAAGAACAGGCATTTGGAGGAAGCAAAACAGTATTATTTCCCTTCTTGGCTTAGTCAGCAATGAGGAAAAGGAGTGGCTAAATGAGGACAACCTTTACACTTCCTATGCGTGACACATGCAACCCTGACAAAATAAGATGCTGCCATCAACTTCTGAACTCTAATTTACAAAACCACTGTAATTACATAGCAGTCCCTAATTGCTTCTGCTTTTGCAACTGTCAGAAGTAAACTCTTTATCTGTGAAGGCTAGAACTGTATAGATAAATCGGTGGCTATTTTTAACGCTATGCCCTAGCATGCAAAGCATTCTTGTATGCTATGCCCTACTACCTGAGGGTGCAGAGAGATCATACTCACCTTTTATTTACTGTCTTGAAGCTGACTCAGCAACTGGCTTCTGCACTCCAAAGGCAGTGATAAAAATATTCACAACTACTATAATAAATACTAGTCCAGTTGCAAGGTTGTTGAGGAAATTCAGCTTTCCATGTTTTGCAGGGTTGTTAAGGTCATATTTTACTTCAAAGATAAAGGGAAAAAAAGTTTTAGTTATACGTATTATATGTTTAATTATATGTATTTCAAAATACAGAATAAAAGTCTTCACTACTTGTGCAGTTCAAGAATTTCTCTTACACTATTTGCATCAGTCATACTTAAAAGGGAAGTAAAATTCTGCAGTGTCAGTAAAAGTGCTAAGCAGAAGATCTTTAACCACAAGGAGCCTATTAGCTTCCAGTAATTAACATATAATCTCTGTGGATGCACATGGGAAGTAACGGATACACAAACATCACTAGAAATGTTCTGAGTTCTTGATCTTCCGAAATCTAGTTTTGTTGCAGACCTTAAACATTTAAAAATTCTTTCAGTCATGAATACACAAAGCTTGAAGTCCTGACCAGATAGAATGAAGTTAAATTTCCTGCAGGTTCTTCACAGGAAGCCCAATCTCTTTAACAGTGCTCTAATTATTTTTTTGGTGCTGGTGCTCTTCCCCAGCTGTACTCCCTGATTTTGCATTGATTCTGCTTTTAGAAAGCAAGGGCATTATATCTGCTAAACAGAGCACTGTAGCTGCAGTCCTTTTTATGGAAAGCATCAGCTGTGTAAACATTTTCTTCTGTTCCTTGCAGTTGAACTGCTAATGGCAGTGAGGGAGGAACACACAAGGGAGATAGTATTAATTTAGTTTAAGCTTTGATTCCAGGCCTTGTGAAAATATATGAAAGAGTTACACTGGACTGATAATAGACTTGATGATAGAGTAAAGCATGTGCCTGTGTAAGACAGTCTGGGGTGCTTGCCTGGCGTCATGCAGAAACACAAGATTTTCCTCTGTGTCTGCTTTCCTGCATTAAGGGCTCTGCAGCTCAGACCTTCTGCTGAATTTGATGCTGGTGGAATCAGTGCCAATGAATTCTGGAGCTTGTTTTGAGGATAGTTTTTTGCCTATTAAAAACCCTAGTTCTTCCTGGAGTCTGCATGTGCAGGACATGTGATAGAAAGTTTATACATGAGAAGTTTTTACGGCAACATAAACCTTTGAGCTCTTTCTGACAGGCACGCACACAGATATCTAGCCTAAGACCCTACTGCCAGAGATCAACTTTATTATTTGTTTTTTAACACAGTGAGCCTCTCAACACTGCAGAACTTAACCACAGAACCATGACAAGCTTGTTTGTTGAAGCAGTTATACAGAAGTAGTGACAAACTCATGATGCTAAAGTATTAAAAGTGAGGTTTACTTGGCCCCTAATTAGGAAGTCTAATGCTGTTTTGGTTTCAAGGAATTCCGGGCACCTGTTCAGGTACTGTTTGCTAAACCTCTATGATGTATGTCAAACATCACAGGCCAGGCAAAGCACTGTGTGGGAGAACTACCTTTGTAGGCATGAAATAATTTAAGCTCAGCAGTATTTAACCCTGAAAATGAGTTTATATATGTCTGTAAAGTATCTGGAGCTATGTGGATGTTTGTATCCCAACAATACATAGAAGGACTCCCAGACTCTCATGTGTCGAATAAATGAATATTGAATCATTACTCCTAAAGTATAGGAGAAAAGCATTTCAGACAGTTGGTTTAAAAAAGAAAAGGGAATAATGGCCTAATGTATTTTGTGAGTTAGAAGAAACCATGCTCAAAGGAGAACTGACACTTTCAGAGCCATCCCTTTGTCCAAGTAAGGGTCAGAGAAGACAATATTGCTGGTCAAAGGAGAACTGACACTTTCAGAGCCATCCCTTTGTCCAAGTAAGGGTCAGAGAAGACAATATTGCTGGTCAGTTTAGGCAGTGCTCTAAATTTTGAAGTAGAATGGCAGTCATCCTATGTTAGTGATTATAGTGCTTAAGATGAGCATGTTTGTGAAAATGTTCTTAAGAACAGCTATTCTTTAACTATTTTATTATAGTGGGATTAGATTACTATGATTTCATGCCACTTAAAACTATTTCAAGACATTCTTTGCTTTTTCCCAAAAAGTTAAGGTTACCAAATCACTTTCAAGGACAAATTTGCTGAACGTTTTTCAAATTGTTTTTGTGAAAGGCTCTTTTGAAAGGGGAAAAGCTCTTAAGCACACACACAGAGCAGAAAGAACTGGTAATGCCTGGGATAAAACTCTGTCTCAAGGAAAGAAACTGGATAGTTGCACAGACGTTTGTTTGTACTTGTGACAGCTTGTAAGTGGCAGAATTTTGTGGCTGGACAGAAAGACAAACTGTTCTTGCAGGCCAAAACTACCAGATACACACTGCGAAAAGCAAATTCTTGCTATGATGCCTGTATCTTTGTACCTTCATATCCTATTTCCTATCTTCAGTACTACTGACGTTTGCATGACAGCATTGCTCCAATGGTACAGGGCTTTGTCACCCTTGGTACACTGAACCTCCAGCTGCTGCTGACTGCACATCACGGGCTGAACTCCAGATGCATCTCAATGTTTGCTAAGTGGTCTGTGATCTCTGCCTCAGCTCAGCTTCGGAGTAGAGGCTGCTGGGTATGCTCTTTGTTCTCAGTGTGACAAAGATAAAAATGACAGGAATAGAAGCCACTTCGGCAATGCCTGGCAGAAGCAAGCATTAAAAAGCCATGTCTCAGTATATACTGAGAAATTATTGCCTAACGAAAAGCAGGAAACTTGTTTAGAGTCTCAAAGCCTGCTCAACTGAAACAACCACTAGCGAGATGCCTTCAACCTAGAAACATAGAATCATAGAATCACGGGATGGTTGGGTTGTAAGGGACCTTAAAGCTCATTCAGTTCCAACCCCCTGCCACAGGCAGGGACACCTTTCACTAGAGCAGGTTGCTCTAAGTCCTGTCCAGGCTAGCCTTGAACACTGCCAGGGATGAGGTCTACTTATTTTTGTGTATTGCTGATTTCTCCGTGACTGTCCATGACACATCCCTAGTATCATCAGGTCACCTTTCCCAGTCCCTTTCTGTAATTTCCTCTGAGCCTGAATGTTGCTCTTGTACTTACTCTACCAATGCAGGGACAGCTGTATTCTGTCTCTTTTGTAACAAAAAAAAAGCTACATCAGCTGCATATCAATATTATAAGCCTTACGTATCCTGGTTTCCTAGGAACTTCCTCCTTGAACACCAAGTTTTTTTTCAGTTGTGCTAAAAACCAGCATGCTGAAAGACTAGCATAGATGCCAAAGGTGGCACCTATAACTTAGTAAATGTTGTGTCAATTCTGACTGCCATCTTCAAGGCTTTGCATTTATGATAGACTTAAGATCTGCCATCCAGTACCCATTGATTTAATGGGAAAGATTTAAGAAAAGTTATAAGAGTAAATGATCATATATTACTAGCAAAAGAAGTGGCACATAGCTGTTTCCTACCAGTGAAGGTGTCATTTAGGTGTTCAACTGATGCTGAAACCTAAACATTTCCTCCGATTCCACAGGTATCTTTGAACGACTTGCCAAAGTTATGGTCTAAGGCTTGGGTGCTGCCAATGAACACTGCAGGTTTCCAGTAACTTTGCAAAATGCTACTGGGTTCTTTTTGCATTTTGCCTTGCAAAACCGTGGGGGGAAAACATCACAGTAGGGTGAGATAGCAAAGAGAAACACTGAAGACTTGTTTAAGGTCAAAACAGAAATTTCAGGTTTCCAGAAGAGTTTGGATAATTCATGCTCACATAGTGATGACACTGTTTTGGAAATGAGCCTGGTTCTATAGGTACTTAGATCAATATTCTGCTTTACAGAATAAGGCAGAGGGTGCAGGACATATCTGTGCTACTAATCGCAGAATCACAGAATGGTTTGGGTTGGAAGGGACCTTAAGGCTCATCCAGCTCCAACCCCCTGCCATGGGCAGGGATACCTCCCACTAGAATATTGATTTAAAATACTTTATATTTAGTGATAAGTACTGGTTCTAGTGCCTTATGGCATTGTACCTATTAATACTGACTAGCGGAATCTCTATTTTTGAGAACAGCAAACATGTTGCATTGAACATTGAATGTGAATGTTTATCATTCCCCAAATAAGTCTGAAAGCGGAGAGTGAGAAGGGCAGGGAGCAAGGAACTAATTCTATGCCTGTCCCATTAAACATGTCCAGAGCACACACGAACACAACTCCTGTTTGAACTCATTCTCTTGAGATGATTTCAAGCATATGTCAAAGGTAATGCATCATATTTCTTTGGTAGAAAGTAGAAAAGGTTTCCCTAGTGATAAGCGGAATTCAAGACAACCTAGTTTTAGTTCCAAATTGCTACTCATGTTCACAAAATATTCTCAAAATATTACTTTATAATAATTAACAGGATTAAGTAACAGGTCTTGCCAGAAACAGTATTATGAAACTGGGAAGGCTGCATGATTCTATCTGGCCTATTAATGTTTCTTTTACAGTATTTCATCATTTTCCTTCCTCCTCAGGCCTTCTGAAAAGAAAAATATTCATAAACTGGGCAAATGAGGAAGTTGATCAAAACTGAAGATTCCACATAAAGCTGCCCTTCCTCCTTTGGATGCACTATTTCTAAGGTCTTAAGAAAATACCTCAATCAATTATGAGATAAAGACTTTCAAATATAACTTTCAAATATTTAAGAATAATTAGGGAGTCTATATACCATTTTATATACCATCTTATAGGTTGCATCCTGTAAGAAAAATACATGTCAATGGTTTTGTTGTTGCTACATACCAAGGAATATCAGGAGTACTCCCACAATAACTTGCAGTGTGAGTGACAGGCTGATAAGAATAATAAGTGGGATGAAGAAGGAAAAAGAAGGTCCTTGCTCTATCACGGCTTTCAGCTGGGATGCATTGGCCATCAGCAGGGCAATGTCCAACATGCTCTCTGCAGCACTTTTCTTATTTGCATAGTGGTTAATATTCATAGGTCCATTTCTTTGAAACCACTGTGATGTTCTGTGCTAGAATTGGGAGAAAGGAAAAAGATTATTCACATCTATCTTAATTGGTGTAGTGAGTGAGAGATCACTTGGCACATCAACTAATTTCTGTATTCATACTGATAAGAGCAATAGTGGTACTGAGACTTTCAGTGCATCTTTTTCACTGTTACTACTGTCCTCCATCTGACAAGAGAGCAGTAAATACTGCCTGTACTGCACTTTGGCAGGTACACTTTTTCCAGCTTGTAGGATCAGTCTGACGAGTCAGGATGTTTCTATGCTGGGAAAGGGGAAGACTGAAGAAGCTGAAAAGCTTGCACTGCAAAAGGTTGGGTGGGAAAAACCCCTGCAAAGCAATCAAGCAAACAATAAATTGTTGCAACTACGGCATACTTAAAACCACAAATATTTATTAAATTCATCCTCTGTTATCACATAGTTCTAATTACTCATGAATCTTACCTGGAGGATTTATGTGGAAGTTGGCCACTGTATGAGCTTTGCTTAACCTCTTTCCTTGCTGCTTACTCTGCCATGTCCCTGTCCAGTCCCACCCATACACAGTGAACTGTTTTTCCACTTTAATAGCTTATGATGTGTGGGTGCCAAGCACTGCCCAAGCACAAGGGAAACTTTCTTTCCATTTTTCACATCAACAGGTTTTAATTTTTTTAAATTGTCCTTCAAACAAACAGGAAAGTAAAACCCAACTGCAGGGCAAAACCAGAGCTTGTTAACCTGGCAGGACAAAAAAAATGAATGTCTCCTAATAATGATTCACATGACATTTGACAGCTCATCTCTCAGAGGTGCCTATTTCTCTATGGATTAGATGCAGCTTAGGGTAACTAAGGTTAGGCTTAGATGCCTGACTCTGCGATGAGAAGAGTAGGTAACCCTCATTTCTGCATTCTGTGAACAGGTTAAGAATTTAATTATTGCTGCTCTTCCTTATAGGCTTTATTCCAAAGCAATACACAAATATACTGGAAGTAAGCTTATGCTAGCTGACTTCTCTAAAGCTGCTTCTTAGAGAACTTTTTAATTGCACAAGTATGTTCCTGCTTGCCAGAAAATACTGTGAGGAAAGTCTCACTTTGAAGGTTAGTTCAAATGCAGAAAACTGCCCTCTAATTACTCTCTCCAGCAGCACTGAGAACTATCAAATTTCCAACTCCAAAGCCAGGTTTGCCACTGTACAGCCCTAAAAGTGTCCTCTTAAATAGGACAGATATTAATGCATAGAGCAAACACATTCCAAGCTTTTCCAGGGCACTCAAATACCAAACTTTACCCATTTTCACCAGACATGTTGTAATCAACCACAGCCTAAATATTTTACTCAGTGAAAAACAGCATGGAACAGTAGCAGACTTTTTTCTACAGAGAAAGAAGCCATGTAATCATAGCTTCACGAAGATGGCTTCTTTATATTGAGACGAGGCTGCTGAAGAAACTGGCTTTGAAATGAATGCTGACTTCAGTCAGGAAGATCTCAGTACACATTTGGTTTTGTCTATATCCCACCACCTAAAAATGCAATTTGGCTGGGGGATCTGTCCTACATTTGCCACTTTTTCTCTCCTCAAGGCCAGCCTCCTCGTCCTACCTCCCTGCCCCATTAAACCACTGAAGCATTTGGATGCTTGGAAAAATACTGTAATTCTAGTATACCATCCACCAGAAGCACTAAACCAGATGTGGATGTTCATTTCCTTATGGAAAGCAGCATGGAATATATGGTGGCAGCACTCTAGAAAGATCCAGACTAACATTTTTCACTGTTTAGTGTACAGTAAAAAGCCAAACGCACACACTTAGCTCTTGGCTACTTAATGCTGGCAGTGTACAACAGGATGGGGAACTTCATGTGTAACAGCAGAATGCAATTTCTACGCATGAATTTAGAAGAAAGTCTTCTTAGTAGACTATAGAAATAATATTTTATCACAAGTTCATAATAAACGAAGCTTTTCCCTATATTGACTAGCTAATTAACTCCTTCCTGATGAAAATACTGCCATAGACATACCTGTTGGGGCTACGAAGTTGCAGCATGCAACACCATCAAAAACTACATGGGTAGCTGTGACTCGGTTCTTAATCCTGATGGAAGGGGACTGCAGTAAAAACACGACAACTAGTTTCTGTGTTTTCATTGATGTGGGAATGTGATGATGTTTGACATGGTGGTCTGTTGGGTTATTTTAACTTCATAAAAGAGTAGATAGTCTGGGCTGAATCTTCCTTTCAGTTACCTCTGTGACTACAGGACATAAGACAGTTTGTACACAAAAAGCAGAATATGATCTTTTCTTTCTCCTGGAGAAATGTCCTGCTGTACTTTTAGGACCTTGCTGTTTGCTGATTTTCTCTATGGTCAGGTTGCATGTGGGAATAGGAGGATATGGCATTTGAATTGTGGTGAAAGCAAAGGGGTTGAGTCACTTCTAAACTCCAATAAATGGAGAAGACTTTTCAAAGTAGGGTGCTGCTGAAGCAAACTAAGGCAAAACTTCTTATTCCTGGCATGACAACTCAGCTATTTACTATGCTTAGATTCTAAAAACTGGCATTTTGCTCTGTTAAGAGACTTTCAGCTACCACTCCTGAAAGCAGACCAGCTCAGAATCAGAATGAGGCATATGGAGAAGTGAAATGTTGGTTCTACTGTAAGCAGCCTGTGGTCTTGTCTTCTGCCAGGAAAAAAGAACTGTAATCATAGAAAACCCAGAAACAATCATTCCTCATCTCCTGATTGAGAACTGGTACCTCCTCACTCATGCTGGAAAACCATCAAACAAATAAAAATGCTTTCTGGAAGCAAGTTGAAGACAACTGCCAAAAGCACTGGAACAAATGCAGTCAGCCCTATGGCAGCAATTTTTAAGATTTGACTATGTGTTGTACAACAACATATAGACAGGGAAAGAAAGAAAAGCTGTTGCCTTAACCTCAGGATAATTACAGTCATGTACAACAGAAATTATATGGGAACTATGTTATGCGGCTTTATGTTTTTTTCAGGGAGATTAAAGCATGTAGCAAACATATGCAGCCCACAGTATCCAGTGACACTTCCCCATGCTGTTATCATCTGCAGAGGGAAAGTGTGGCTTCTGAAGACTTTCTAGGATGCATGTAAAGTAAAACTTTTCCTGCAGGTGTCACTTGGCAAGAGAAATGTACTTCACACAACCTGCCTTAGCCTCAACGTAATCAAAACACTTCATTACACACTTTCAATATTCAAATTACCTGGTACAAACAAGCTGATCTCTTCAGCTGGCATCACTGAATGAGTCTGAGGAAAAACTGCACGTGTTTTCACATGTGTGTGCACAAGAGCCAGGTGTAGGTGGAACTGCTGTATCTTCCTTTCCCTGTCAGTAACAGCCAGCCCTCAGGTCTCAATTGCCAGCAAAGCACCAACCCTGAGCAGAACAGCCTGCCGCACAATTATGAAAAGTAGAGGGCTGAAAAACTTCTTTCTCTGTCTGTGACTGGAACAATCTCCTGTGGAACTGCTGATATTCACAGTCAAATGATGTTGTCCCCATGGACAATAATATCACTGGTCCTCACACAGCAGCAAAGTCTGTTTGCTTGCCCAGAGCAGAGCCGTTTGCAAGGATAAAGCTAAGATGCTGCATGAGAAGCTGGAACTTTTTTTCTTCTGTAAGACCAACCCTTCCCACCAGGATTGAACGGTATTAGACACACAATCTCGCTGTGTTGACATGGACTTTGCTGCTGCTTTGCTTCACTCATCATTTCAACAGGAGACCCAGAAGATCTGAGTCCCTTTGAAATACAGAGAGGATTTATTCATTACATTTATTAAAAAATAAAAGTGGCACTGAGACGAATGTCCTTGTATGCCAACTTTCATGAATCACACCTGAGACCCACCTGGTGATTCAACAGGAAGGAAACAGCACTGAAAATGGAAACATCTGAAAACAAATAATAAAGTAACTAAATACAGTAACTAGTTATAGTAAGGATTTCTGCTTTTATTACAGCATGAAATCAGTACTTGTGACAACATTTATGTAGCTGTTTGTTCAGCAGAGTATTTATTGAACACCAGTCACTGCTGAAGCAGTTAAACCAAAATGTTGGAAGTCTGAACAAAAAAATGGGAAGCCCAAAAGTTGTTTATTTTCTTGTCCAACTTGACCTGAGTTTGCCAAACTGTATCAGTGAGTCTTTGCAGAGAAGACAGAAGGGGTCTGTGACATGCCAATCACCTGTAATCCACTGAGAAAAAAACCTACAAACCACTAGTGAAAATGTTGCCTGCTTTGCATTTGTATTTACAACTTAGTTATGGTTGTTTCTGTCACTCTGCCCTACGAATGCAGGAAGAAAGAGTTCGGATTCTGATAGCAAGATGTTAGGATTCATTTCTTCTCTTTTTGTACGTCCCCAGGTGCTCAATGCAGCTTCTTAAATGTCTTGCACCACATATATTCTCATTTAGATATTGTTTTAAGAAAATCTCAGAAAAAAAAAAGGCCCAAA